TAATTTCTTCATTATTATATTCTTCAAGTTCTTAATTAATAATTTAATATTATGATATTCACTATCATTAGTAGATATAAATCTGACAAGGTGTAAAGAGTCTATATAAATCAAGACAAATAAATCAGTATCTGTATTTATGTAAAATTATGTCAGAAAACACAATCAGATACTTACTGAGAAAAGAGTTAAAAGTGTATAAAAAGATGAAGAAAATGTACTATTTATAGTAATACATTCTGACAATTATTAGAAAAAAGAAAAAAAACAAGTTCTGATTATATTTCATAATATGTTTCACTTACTGCTAATAAGCTATCTAATCTGAGTACTTCAATGACACTTGTTTTAAAAACAGAGAGTCATTGGCAGAAATGTGTATAATTGTAAGAAATCCCGCTTCTCGCAGATTCTTTACCTCTATTTCTAACTCTCATGTAATTAATAGAGTTAGCAGCTCTTGACTACAAATAACTATATAGACTGAAGTTCATGAATACTATTCATAACTCAGATTAAATACTATTATATATTTAATCTCTATATTTATCTTTCTACTATGAATACTTCTAGTAGCTATTAGTATATATTATATCAAGCTGTAAATATCTGAATAATTGTCTGTAAGTACTTATTCTTATATTTTAAGCTCTGTCAGTCAGCAATCACTTATTATAACTACAGAAACTAGAAAGTTATATACTTAAATCTCTGCAAACTCTACTGCAGATACTCAGAAGCAGTTATCTGAATCATGAATAACTCTTATAAAAGAAGTCTTTGAGAACTTATTAATTATCTACAGAATATCATTCTCTGTATCTGTGACAGAGAAACTCTTCAAATCTATAAATAAATCAATCTCAGTGTATAACATTCTTGAGCATTTTTCACAGAACTATGCTATTTTTCTACAAGAAATACTTACTGTCTGTAAACACTCTTAAACTGAGTCTTTAAACATAATTTTCAGAGATACTTATAAACTGAAAAGAGACTTTCTTAAGTTATAACTATTTAAGATTATCTACTGAACTATAATCTATAAAAGCTTTTATAAGTTTGTAGTTAAAATTGACTCACAAGTCTGACTGTGTAATATAAAAGACAAAAAAGCAGTTATTTATATAATAACAGATCTCTATCATATTAAAGTCAAGAATGAACTGAATTATCTAGAAAATAATTATGAGAGATTTTACTGATTTATTCTCAAGATTAGACTGGCTGGCAGAACTATGAATTTCACATTTGATCTCATTTGATCTGATCTTATACATTTCTTGGCGTGAGTCTCACCAGGACCAAGCATCAAAAAAATCTGAAAATGAATCATTTCGGAGAGAAATGATGTGAGAAATGACCAGATTTGATACAAGAACAGTGAAATGAAAGTAATTTCTCAGATTAAACTGTGAAAAATAATCATTCTTCCAAAATCAGAATGAGACTGAGACTGAAGATTAAATTCAGTCTCATTCAGTTCATTCAGTGATTGCTTATATAATCAGAATTTAATAATGATTATTGATAACACTCATGAAACAACTAAATACATTCTTGTATAAGTTTATTCTTTATCTTCTTATAAAAACTACACTTCTCTGATATACTGTGATCAGAGATATTAAACTGTCTGATAATTCTATATTTTACAATCATGAGTTTCTTGATTGTTTCTTCTTGTAATTGTTCTCAGTGATAGTAATAAATATCTCAGCTTGAGTTAAACTTTCACTTCATTTTCACTCTTATTAATGAAATTATCAGAATATCATATATTATCAGTGCAATAGTTGAATATGTACTCTCAATAATTTTTCATAACTCTAGAATTGATTTAATGTGTAAATTCATCAGATTATCTTGAAGATAGTAATTAAATTTAGTTTTATAAGCATGTAGTTTTGTCTGATTTTTAGTTATAATCAATATATATAAGTTCTGTTTCAAAGTTAGTATTATAGTTCTATATAATATGAAGTGTTATCAAAGATTATTACTTACTAGAGAATTGTATTTCACTATCTTCACATCTCTAACATCTGCTCATTCAAATCTCTGATAGTTAGTATTATAGTAGTCTCAGACTAATTTAATATATAAGTCTCATTTCTTCTCTGTTCAATCTTGAGAAGTGTAGATATCAACTCAATGAGAGAGATCTAGTAGAGCTGCTACAGTATAGTACTCTGTAAAAGATTGTTCAGTTTAACTGTAATAATATACCAGTTTATTCCTTGCAGTAATAATAGACTATACTATAGTATTATCTCAGACTGAATTTCTTTTTAAGTGATTCAACTGCTTCTCAAGATAAGTAAATAAACTGTTATATACTCATCAGACTGACTGCAGTATTGATGTATAAGTAATTGAGACTGTCTTTATTATCTTATAAAATGGAAAGAGTAAATCAATCATATATTTCAACTGAGTTCACTTCATATCAGAAAGTTTTAATGTCTGAATCTTTTCTTAATCAGAGTGTTACACTCAATGATTAATCATCTGATACAATCAAAGAGTCTGAATAGTTATCTTATATATTGAACTTTACTATATTCTAATATTCTGTATCATATTCAGTGATGTAAGTGATTTATTTATTTATTGAATATTATGAAATAATTATTATTATTTAGAAGAGATATAAATTATATTAATAATATTTTAAATCTGTGATATTTAAATTATTAGTCAATCTATTCAAAATTAACATTAGTATTATAAAAAAACATTATTAAAAAGCAATATTAAAAAGTGTTATTAAAAAACATTATCTTTTACAAAGTGAATGTAAAAGTTACTTAAGTAATCACTTTCATCTCATTCTCATGTCAAGAATTAGTCATCTCATTATTTATTATCTCAATGTTAAGATTCTTTATCAGTGTTTATATTACAAGTTAAATCATATGAGTAATGCAGAGAATATAATCTTATTTATCATTTCAGAAATACAAAGTTAATTTTTACTTCAAGCTCTTCATCATAGTATAGTTATTCACAGCATTATCAGTTATAATTATAAGAAGACTGAGACTAATATCTTAATAGTCATTTTTAATCACTATCATTAATATCTCTATCATATAATTCTCAGTATGACTACTGATTAATGATTCAAATTCAATTAATATCTCTTAATAAGTTCAGTTCTTATTAATATAATAATATATAACTCTTATAAATGTAAGATTATTTATACTAGTTCATGCATTCACTCTGAGAGACACTCTTTAATAATTCTTCATCTCTGATTCTAGATGTTGTATATTAACTTTGTAATATATCTCAAGATTGAATCAAAGACATGATTGATGTGAAATATAAAGATTTGAATTAAGTATTTAAAGAAGTGTTCAGAATCCAGAGTTTTTAATTGATTAAAGAGAAAGATTCAGAGATATACACATGTGAAGTAATTATTCACAGAAGTCATCAGATGAGAGTTATAAAATCAGAGTATCAATACATGATTATTTTCACATGATTTTCTTCAAATTAGAAAGTTAGTATTATCAAAAATTATTATCTAATAGAGTAACTTATCAGCTTACTAGTAATTTTCTGATTATTTTTCTTTCATTATCTGCATTCTGATAACTTCAGATTTTAGAAAAATTTATCAGAGCTATAATCAGTTCATGATAAATATTTCTGAATAAAGTTACAGTGATTATAGCAGAGAGATGACTCTTCAGTAATCTGCAATACAATCTGTTGATAATTATTTCATAGTTTATCTTGATATTTGTGTTGAGTTTTTCACAAATTTAATAGCCTGAAATCAGATATGAAGAATGAAGTAATTATTTATTATAATTGAAAGAGAGTATTCTGTATTGAATTGTAAATAACATAGACTTTGTAATTTACAGTGATTTCTTAAAGAGTTTATGAATCATTAATAGAAGTAAAAGAAGTAAAAGAAGTGAATTTAGAAGATATAATAAAGATTTAAGAAAGATTATAATTTATTATTAATAAAGATAATAACTGATCACTGATGTGTGTAAGAAGAATTATTATAAGAGAAAATAATCTTCTTTCTTCGCTTAGTTATAATTTTAGTACTAACTCAGATTGAATATTATCAATGTATAAAAGTAAATAAACAATCTTGATTAATCTCTATCATATTTCTTGAAATATATTAATATTGTGAAAGAGAGTATTATCAAATTATATTATCAGATAATATTATTAAAAATATATTAATATTATAAATATCAATGTTGAAAAAATATTGATACTTATACATTGTGATTCAAAGGTTGCTTGAGCCCGCGTACGATTACAGGCGTACGCCGGCTTCTTATATACATTATCTAAATTAATTAGTGGCCACTAGAGCCTCTTTACATTTGTAAGTGTGTTTGAAAGTAGCTGTGTTATTATTCAGCAGTTGTATGTTCTTCTGAATCACATTCTCTCTCACCAGATTCAGTCACACTCACATGATCATGATATAAACCCTAGTCTCATGCAGATTAGTGTGCTGCTAGCATTCACAATTATACAGTCTATCTCTGATCTGGCTAGCATCTCTCATACACTCTCACAAAGAAACTTCTACTATATTATATCACTCATTCACTAACTTTTTTCATTCTTCAATCATCTTCCTCATCATCATCATTATCAAACATTATTATCTTATTCAAGATTTCTGCCTCTCTTCTATTCAATATCTTCTATCTGTTCATCTATCACATTATATGTGTTTCTGGCAATGGCCTCTCATTCTCACAACAAGTGTTATCATAGTGCTCATATCAGGCAGTTTGTTAGCAGTAAGTGTGACATGTTGTGAAATGCGATCAGGACTTGTTTATCTTCTAATAATCATCAGAATGTATTATCATGAATAGCACATCTTCTTCATCTTCTTATACACTTTTAATCATTTTTCTTCTCAGTGAGCTTCTGATCATGTCTTCTGACATGATTTTACATAAACACAGATGCTGATATATTTGTTTTTATTTGTGTAGAATCTTCATACATTGACAGATCTGCATTTATCAATGATAGTGAACTCAATGTTGAATCATTGATTGAGAACTTGAAGAATGTAATAATGAAGAAATTGTCTGTATCATGTATAATCAGATCTTTCATATTCTTTTCTGCCTCTTCTGTCACTGTTTCTCTCTCTGTCACTCTCTCTCAATCTTCTATTCTTAATTCTGTTTCTGATTCTCCTGCTCTCACTATCTCTATTCCTGTAACTCTCACTCTCACTACTTCTACTCTCTCTGCTTCTGTTATCTCTGCTTTCATTATCAGCTCTTCTCATTTCAAGAAGATATTGTATAGACTTAATGAATCACATTTCTCAGTATGTACACTCTCACTCTTCTTACCAACTTCTAAAATAATTTATTATACAAAGACTGCATATGATATGACTATCTGAAGCTCAGTCACAGACACTGATTATTACATTGATTGTAAATATTTATAATAAGACAATTATTCATTCATATCAGAGAATCATCTCTCTCTTCAACAGTATCAAGATTATAAGTCTTTTTCTTTTTCATCTTTTCTTTCTAACGCTGATTTTCCTGTTCTTAGAGAAAATTATTATAAGTTTTATTATACATGAAGTTGTGATGTTCACAGATATCAAGAAACTTTTCATAATTATTAAATTCAATATTATGAGTACATTCACTCTGATGAATTCCTTTGAGATGATAGATCTGTATCAGCCTATTCTCTAGCATCTGTCATCTGACTTCATAATACAGGTGAAGAATATCCATGTTTTCAGAAACAGGAATATGAATATCATACTCTTTTACATCTGTAGATGTGAGGCTTGTATATCTTGTCTGAGATGTTATTATGAGAATGAGCTGTTCATACACTGTATTGTGCTTTCTGTATTTCTCTATGTCTCTCTCTCTCTTTCTGAGAAGTCTCATATATGTTGTAATTACATGTACAATTCTAAGATCAGTGAGTGTTTATTCAATAATTGTTACTCTTGTTTTTGCAGTTTCATATACTAACAATAGTTCTTAGTGGCTCTGGCATCAGAGATCATTTTAATTGAAGATGATAACATCACTGAGACTACTCTCTTCTGCTCTCAAGCTTCTTCTATCACTTGCTCTCTCTTCTCTGTGAAGAAGATTGTGCATATACTGAGTTATAAGTATTTAACTCTGAGTGACTTCTATCATTATTTATCTGATTCTGTGTCTTCTTCTTCTTTCATTTCTTTCACCTTTATCTTTCCTGCTCTGACTTCTGATTCTGTGAGTCTCATACTCTTCTTTAATTTTTCTACACATACACATACACATTTCTATATTGGCATTTCAGTCAATCTTGCAATAAATAATATTAATGTCATACACAGAGCAGTAGAGTAATCAGAGACATGTACAGCATTATTATAAGAATAGCTTACAGCTCTTAAATCTCTTACAGATCTTAAGTTTTGAGATTTTCTTTGTTTTTGATGTTTTTCAAATATCATGGCATTGAAAATAGATTAAACATGTCATGTATAAAAATAAATGAGATGTGTATAATAACTTTTGTCTTTTTACAGCTGATTCTTACAGTTAATGAGTAATTCTTTATCTCTTTTCTTTTCTTACACTTTTTCTTTGTCTGCTAGTTACTACTCTTACATGATCTCTATATAATACAGTGTTCAGTGACTAGATTTAGCAGCTTTCATCTTTTATAATTCTGTCTCACACATTATACTGTCTCTCTTCACTCACTCAGATCACTACAGTAAACAGCTCATTGAAACTAATCTCACTCAATCTCTGAGCATTCTCAGAGATTGAGATGACTTAGTCTTATACATCTGTAGATGTTTCAGATAATTCATTCTCTGTTATCTTCATAATTGAACTGATATAAACAGTTGAATTCAAATCTGAATCTCTTTTTCTTCTGCAATCTGACTCATATACAAGTCTGTCACTTTGAGACTGCTCTTTACTGTGTTACATCTGCTATCTACAGTGCATTATCATATGATCAGCTACAGTCTTATCACTTATTAAAGTGTGATATTTATCTGATTTCTTCATTGCTTCTCATTCTTTCCTTATAATCATGAAAAGATTGAAATAAGCAAGATGATCTGATTTATAAGCATCTATGATTTCTCTTACTTCATAAGACTTTTTAATTATAAGTCTCTTCTTTTTCAACACTGATAATAGTGCTGCAGATAATTATAATTCACTCAGATCTTGCACATTTCTCTTTATAAAATGTGAATCATTTATTAAGTTGTATATGACTCATCTCTCTGATTCTTTCAATGTGTATGTTTTCAGAGAATGTGATTTGAGTATTTTATAGAGCTTAAATTATCTAGATTAAAACATCTCAGAACCCTCATTGCATACAAGAACTTATATTTTCATCTTGAGACTTGGTTTCTTAACTAGTGAGTCTTGTATTCTTTTTGATTGAATTGCTTGATTCAGGAGTAACTCATTAGCTGTCACACATGTATAACTAATCTCTTTCAATCTTGATTCTGTGTCTGCAACTGCTGTGTCTACAACTGTTGCATCTGCAACTATTGTTCCTGCTGTATTCACAACTGATGCATCTGCAACTACTGTTCTCTCTCTCACCTTTTTCAAAGCATTCTTCAGAATGCGCGGATGCAATCCATACAACAGATAAAATAGTGAACACTTGAAGACTGCATGCTGTCAAATCCGCGTGGCTAATAGCTAGACTGACCGTGTGACCGTGTCTTAGACCAGGACCAGATTTTTTGATAGTCTCATTACCAATTCAACCGATCCCATTACACAGTTTTAACATTAGATAGTAGTCTCATACTGTCTAAGTAAGACTTACTGTCTACTCTTATCACATTTTTCAAATGAGATCATGATTTTTACTTCTCAATTTAAATTATTTTTATTACTTTAAATGACTTTAAATCTTTTTTAAGTGTTATCAAAAAGTGTTACTTTTTAAAAAATTAAAAATAGTCTAAAAAAAACCTTAAAATGTCTAAAAATAGTAACTTTATGCCAAGAATGAGACTAAATGAGATTAAATGAGATCACTTTTTCATTTTTTTCAAGTCATGATTTCATTTTAAGATCTCATATATAGTCACTTTGCATGTTTTTTTAATGACTAGTCCCAGCGGGATTGACGCCAAGAAATGTATGAGACCAGATCAAATGAGATAAAACATGAAATTCATGGTCCCGGCGGCCAGTCTACTAATAGCATCTGTCCGAGATATTCATCTTATAGTCTCATAGACTTGCTCACTAGATATTTCATTAGCATGTTACTCAAGATTTCATCCAAGTATTTCACTTTTTTATTCATTTGCAGATGATATGACATTGTTCTACAATATCTTGTCTATAACTAGCTTATAAAATGCCTCACTGCTTCTTCTACAAGGTTTGCATCATTATCAGTTAGAATCTCACATAGTATTTCATAGTTGACATAGATCTCATTATATAGAAACTTCATCACTATCTTCTCTATCATCTCTGAAACTGCTTTCACAACTGATCAGTCAGTAGCATAGTCAATAGCAGTGATTATTCAATAATTTCTATTTAATATTTACAGTAATATATCTATGAGATTCATCTCTCATTATTTAAACAGTTGTATTATACATTTCATCTGATATTACACTTTCTCATATTCTAATCCTTTCTTAGATTCTTTCATGACCTGACAATTCAGACACTTGTGAGTGTATGTCTGAATGTTCTCAGTCATGCTTAACCAGTACACTCTTGATTTAAGTACACTCATGAGTTCAGAGCTTTCTAAGTGACTGAATTTCTTGTACATATAAGTCACTAAGTCATGTCTAAATGAATGTTCTAGATAGAGAGCTTTTACATATTCTAGATCATAATAAAGCATAATATCATTTTTTAATTTCTTCAGCTTGAAGTTTGAAAGCATCTCTTCTACTACTTTCACAAGATACTTATCATCTGATATCTTGCTATTCTTTAAGTAAGAGATCATTATATTCACTTATTCTAATTCCTTATATTCTCTCAGTGTGTTTAATACAAACTTCTCTTATATCTAATTCACAGAATTCTCACTCATGAAATCAGATCTGTAACTGATTATATCAGATATCACAGTATCTGATCTCTTTCAGTATTTAATATTAAGATTGTACACTTGAAACTCTGAGATTCAATGTACTAAGTATTTGAAAGATTTCATCATCAATTGTAGATAGATAAGGCTTTTATAATTCATAATCACTGTTATTATATACTCATTGACAATATATCTATCTCATAACATCAGTGTGTACTTGATTACTAGTAATTTCTTTTCATATACTGAGTAATTGAGCTCAGCATCTGATAGTTTTCTACTATTATATATCACTGAGTGCAGCTTGCTGTTCTTACTCATCTGTAGAAGAGCATCTCTGATAGCTCATTCAGATACATTTATCTTAATATAGAAAGATTTATCATGATCTGATTAAATAAGCACTGAGAATATTATTACACATTTTCTCAGTGTGAGAAAAGCCTTCTTATACACAGTATTTCAGATGATTGAATGAAACTTCTTCTTTCACAGATTTGTATTCATTTCTCTTAAGAGATCTGAGAGTGATGCAGATATTCATATAAAATTCTTGATGAATCTGCAGTAATATAAGATTAACTCAAGAAACTATTATATATAATATACATTTCTCAGTCATGACTAATTTACTATGATATTCAATTTCTCTGAAATGAAATGTATAGTCATTACTCACTACATATTCTTTAAACTTCAACTCTTTCATTTTAAACACACACTTTGTTGATTTGATATAGAGCTTATACTCTGTCAGAGTTATAAACACTTTATTAAGATACTTCAGATATTCATTATATAAGTTTGAAAAGACTAGAATATTATTATGCTATACAAGATATAAGATTTTATTCAGTTTATAAAGAATTGTATTCATTATCATTTGAAAGATGATAGATGCATTTATCAGACTGAATAATATTATCAGAAATTCAAACTTCTCTTATTATATATTAAATATAGTTTATAATACTGACAGTTCATCTACACAGATGTGCCAGTATTCTGAGAGAAGATTGATTTTCAATAGATATCAGATATTTTCAACTGTATTCAACTGTTGTTGAATTCATAGCAGTGAATATTCATTCTTGATTATAAGCTTATTAAGTGTTTGATAATTGATACACATTCATCACCCTTCACTCATCTTTTTCATAAATAGTACTGAAAAGCCTCACATACTTGATAAGAATTATATAAGACTATATTCTAGAAGATCTGTGATCTGACTCTTCTATTCTTCAAGATATGTTTGTGACAGAGAGTACATATTCTGATTGACTGGTTTCATGTTCTTCGTATTAATCTCATATATGAATTCTCATTTCAGTGACAATTTCAGTGAAAGATCTGTTTGAAAAACCTTTCTATACTTCTTCAGAAGCTTCTTCATACACTTGTTCTTCTATATATTCTTTATCTTGATTTTCTCTACTTTCAGATTCTGTATAACATACAAAATACTTTCAGATGAGATCTTGTAAATCATTCTCTTTGCTTATTAATATGTAAGCAGATTTAACTCTTCTATATCAGAGGCATAAAATGTTCTTCTTATATCAGTTGATAGAATTGTATAAACTGTTTTCTTCTTATCAGTCAACTGTATATAATATGTACATCATTGAATCTGCAGATTGAATCTTTGAAATTAATCAAGTCTGAGAATAAGATTATATTTCACATTCTGCAGCTCTTACACTTAAATATAGCAAGATTATTCTCTGAGATGTAAGAGAACTCTTACTCTTACAGATGATATTAAATATCAGTTATCAGACAATCTTATATATCAGAGATTCTTGACTCAGCAGACCTCTTTCAGTCTTCAGATTATATAATTATTAATATATTATATAGACACTTCTGTATTCACTAACACTTTTACAGCTATCTCTCAATTCTTACTCAAGTGCTCTTTATACATTAACATTTCAGGTCTTAAGATATTGAGATAAGTGTTCACTTCATTCTCACTCACATTTCAGTCAGAAGCCTGCTTTCCTTCTAATATTCACAGAATTCAGAGAGTCATCTAACATGAGTATCTCTTTCACTTTAAAG